TCAGCCCCTCTCTTACACCCCTCCTCTCTAACGCTTCCCCTAGAACCGTTCTGTCCACCGAGTCGAATGCCGCCTTCAGGTCTATAAACATCGCTACCATTTTCCCCTTCTCCCTTCTAATCCTGTCATTTACCACCCAGTTTAACGCATAGATATTATCTATTGTGCCCATCCCTCTCCTAAAGCCCGTCTGGTTCCCCGGTATCATTTCTTTCTCCTCCATTTCCTTCTCCAGTCTCCTAGCCAGCACCGATGCGTATACCTTATATAAAGTTGGCATGAGTGTGACTCCCCTATACTCCTCTACCTTTGATCCCGCTCCCTTCTTTATTATCGGCACAATTATCCCTTCCTTCCATGTCTTTGGCCACCCCTCTCCTCTCCACACTCTCCCGCAGATTTCCCACGCCAGTACCTCCGTCCTTTCACCTCCAAATTTCCACGCTTCGTTGGGAACCTCGTCTACTCCCATCGCCTTTCCCTCTCTCAGCCTCTTTATTGCCTCTCTTACTTCCTCTATCCCTAATTCCTCTTCTACCCCTTTTCTTTTTTCCCGTCCCCCCAATCTCACCCTCCTCCCTACACCCCCTAACAGTCCCATAAAGTATTCCCTCCACTCTTCCACTCCTATCTCTTCGTTCGTTCTCTTTCTCTCCTTCCTGCCCCTGTTAACTATCTCCCATACCTTATTTTCGGTTCTCGCCTCCGCTACCTCCTCTATCAGCCTCTCCCGTTCTTCCTCTTTTTTCCTTTCGCACAATTCCTTGTACTCTCTCCTTTCCCTTCTGTATTCCTCTCCTGTCCCTCCCCTCTTTCTCCATTTCCGTAGTTTCCCTCTCACCTCTGCTTTCTTCAACCTGCACTCCTCGTCCCACCACGTTTCCTTCTTCTTTCCTCTTACCCATCCTCCTTCCCTTTCGCTCCTCCGCATTTCCTCCTTTATCTTCTCCACCGCCTCGCATACCATCTCCTGTATCCCTTCTCCCTCGACTCTCTTCCCTGCCATCCCCTTTTTGAATTCCTCTTTCATTTTTCTCGACCAACGTCCGCTCCCTACCTTTCTCTCCCTCCTCTCTTCCTTTCTCCTCACCCCCTTACCCCTTCTGACCGTTACTATCAGGGGATGGTGGTCCGATTCTATCCTTTCACCCACCTCCATCCTTTCTATCTCCTTCCTTGTGTTATCCTCCACTATTGCATAATCTATCACCGTCTCTGCCTTCCCGCCTGTAAACGTGAATTCCCCCTCCTCGTCTCCCTCTACATCTCCATTTAGCACCCCCCATCCTACCTCCTCTATCAACTTGATCAATTTCTTTCCCTCACCGTTTACTTTTCTATCCTTCGAACTTCTCTCCCCTTCCTCATCTGGTCCCCTTACTTTCCCTCCTTCTCTTCCTATCCTCGCGTTGAAATCGCCCCCTACAATTACCCTCTCCTTCCCCGTCTGTGCCTCCATCCACCCTCTTAGCTCCTCCAGCTTCCTGTCCATATCCCCGTTTACGTATACCACTACCACCCTCCACTCCTCCTCCCCCGCTCTTACTCTTCTCTCCATCAGGCCCTCTATTTCTTTCTCTTCCCCCTTTTCCTCCCTCGCCATCTCCTCTCTCACCCCTATTAACATGCCACCTATTGCCCTCCCTTTTTTGCTCTTCCTCTTCGCCCACTGTCTACTCCACTTGTATCCCTTCGGCAGTCTGTTTGCCACCTTCCCCCATCTCTTCTCCTCTAGCCACGTCTCTGTCAGCGCTATGACCTCCCATTCTGCTAGCTCCTTCCAGAATTCCTTATCCTTACTCTCTATTCCCGCTACATTCCAGAACCCTATTCTCCAATTGTCCTCCTTTCCTCTTCCCTCTTCCCCCCTGCTTCCTCTTTTCCCCCTCTGTCCCTCTCCCTCCATCTCTCCTCGTTTTTTGTGCTCCTTTCCGTTTCCTCGCCCCCGTCTTCTCTTTCTCCCTTCTTCTCTTCCCTCCCTGCCCTTTTCTCCTCGTTTCTCCTCTCCTCTTGCCATTCTCTCCCCCTACTGTCTCTCACTGTCTCCCGTTCTCCGTCCCATATCCACACCTTTCCCTCCACCGTGATCCTCCCCAATCCCACCCTCACCTGTCTCCCTTTCCTCCTCTCCTCGTCTCCTATCCTTCTCAACTTCCATTGAATCCTTCTCTCCTCCCATGTTAAGTCCTCCTCTACTCTTTCCCTCCTCCCCCGCAGCTTCCATTTGTTCCTCATCACTTCGACCTTCTTCTCTGTGCTCTCTAACCTTACCTCTATCATCCTCCCCCGTCCCCCCTCTCCTACTTTTCTCAGCTCTCTTGTTCCCTCCACCCCTCCTTTCACTCCTATCCTTGCCATTAGTCTATCCACTACCTGCTGTGCTGTTCCCTCTATCTCTGCCTCCTTTATTATTATATTGTTTCTTTTTACCTCCCTTTCCTTCCTCTCCATCTTTTTCTCTATCTCCTTCAGCCTCTTTTCCACCCCCTCTTCCCTTCCCACTTCGCTCCGTCCTTCCTTTGTCTCCCCTCCCTCCCTTCCTCTCTCCCTTTCCAGATTTCCTACCCTCTTTTCTATCTCCTCCACCTTTTTCTTCGCCACCTCTAGTTCTCTCATCTTTCTTTCTGCCTCTCCTAACCTTTTCTCCATCCTCTCTTTCTCCTCTCTCCATCTTTCTTCTCCTCTCCTCATGTCCTCCCTTATCTTTCCAACCTCCGCTCCCACAGTCTCCATCCTCTCCTTTATTTCTCCCATGTCCCTTCTCGCTTCTTTCCTCCATTCCCTCCATTCCTTCAACAACTCCTCCACGTTCCCCTCCCCCCCGCTCTTACCCTCCGGTGATCTCACCACCCTCTTACTTTTCCTAAACATCCATTCTTCCTCTCGTTCTTCCTGCCCTTCCTCTTCCGCCATCTCCCTTTTCCTTTTCCAAATTTCACTCAGATCCCCATAACTCCCTATCGACGCTCCCCTCTCCCTCATCAGCCTTTCGACGTTTGTTTTCCTGCCCCTTTTCTTCGCCTCCTCGTCTCCCCCCTCCACTTTTTCCTCTTTTCTTTCCATACTCCTCTTTTCCTCTTCTTTCTGTCCTACCTTCTACCTTTCCTTTCCCTCTTCTCCTTTACCAGCCTACTCGTCTTCGGTTTCTGTTCTGCTCCTTTCTATTTCCCGCCTAAACACTTCCCTCAATTCTCCCTGCTCCCGTCCGGTGTCACCACCGTCCCACCTTTACACTTCCCGCTCCTAACTCCTAACCGTCTGTCTCCCCCTTTCCCCACGCTCCTCTCCCGCCAACTGCTCTCTCCTGTCCCTAACCTCCTTTCGCTTCTCTCCCGCCCTTTTTCCTTCTACTCACTACACTTTTCCTGCTCCCCTATACTCTCTCCCTTATCCTCACCCCTTTCCTACTTCCACACACCCTGCTCTCTCACCTCGCCTCTCACTTTCCACCCTAAATTCGCTATCACTCACTCAACTTCGCAAAATTCACTCCTTCACCAAACGTTCCGGAAACGGAAGTCCAAATNTCCCCGTTTACGTATACCACTACCACCCTCCACTCCTCCTCCCCCGCTCTTACTCTTCTCTCCATCAGGCCCTCTATTTCTTTCTCTTCCCCCTTTTCCTCCCTCGCCATCTCCTCTCTCACCCCTATTAACATGCCACCTATTGCCCTCCCTTTTTTGCTCTTCCTCTTCGCCCACTGTCTACTCCACTTGTATCCCTTCGGCAGTCTGTTTGCCACCTTCCCCCATCTCTTCTCCTCTAGCCACGTCTCTGTCAGCGCTATGACCTCCCATTCTGCTAGCTCCTTCCAGAATTCCTTATCCTTACTCTCTATTCCCGCTACATTCCAGAACCCTATTCTCCAATTGTCCTCCTTTCCTCTTCCCTCTTCCCCCCTGCTTCCTCTTTTCCCCCTCTGTCCCTCTCCCTCCATCTCTCCTCGTTTTTTGTGCTCCTTTCCGTTTCCTCGCCCCCGTCTTCTCTTTCTCCCTTCTTCTCTTCCCTCCCTGCCCTTTTCTCCTCGTCTCTCCTCTCCTCTTGCCATTCTCTCCCCCTACTGTCTCTCACTGTCTCCCGTTCTCCGTCCCATATCCACACCTTTCCCTCCACCGTGATCCTCCCCAATCCCACCCTCACCTGTCTCCCTTTCCTCCTCTCCTCGTCTCCTATCCTTCTCAACTTCCATTGGATCCTTCTCTCCTCCCATGTTAAGTCCTCCTCTACTCTTTCCCTCCTCCCCCGCAGCTTCCATTTGTTCCTCATCACTTCGACCTTCTTCTCTGTGCTCTCTAACCTTACCTCTATCATCCTCCCCCGTCCCCCCTCTCCTACTTTTCTCAGCTCTCTTGTTCCCTCCACCCCTCCTTTCACTCCTATCCTTGCCATTAGTCTATCCACTACCTGCTGTGCTGTTCCCTCTATCTCTGCCTCCTTTATTATTATATTGTTTCTTTTTACCTCCCTTTCCTTCCTCTCCATCTTTTTCTCTATCTCCTTCAGCCTCTTTTCCACCCCCTCTTCCCTTCCCACTTCGCTCCGTCCTTCCTTTGTCTCCCCTCCCTCCCTTCCTCTCTCCCTTTCCAGATTTCCTACCCTCTTTTCTATCTCCTCCACCTTTTTCTTCGCCACCTCTAGTTCTCTCATCTTTCTTTCTGCCTCTCCTAACCTTTTCTCCATCCTCTCTTTCTCCTCTCTCCATCTTTCTTCTCCTCTCCTCATGTCCTCCCTTATCTTTCCAACCTCCGCTCCCACAGTCTCCATCCTCTCCTTTATTTCTCCCATGTCCCTTCTCGCTTCTTTCCTCCATTCCCTCCATTCCTTCAACAACTCCTCCACGTTCCCCTCCCCCCCGCTCTTACCCTCCGGTGATCTCACCACCCTCTTACTTTTCCTAAACATCCATTCTTCCTCTCGTTCTTCCTGCCCTTCCTCTTCCGCCATCTCCCTTTTCCTTTTCCAAATTGTTTTCCTGCCCCTTTTCTTCGCCTCCTCGTCTCCCCCTTCGGTTTCTGTTCTGCTCCTTTCTATTTCCCGCCTAAACACTTCCCTCAATTCTCCCTGCTCCCGTCCGGTGTCACCACCGTCCCACCTTTACACTTCCCGCTCCTAACTCCTAACCGTCTGTCTCCCCCTTTCCCCACGCTCCTCTCCCGCCAACTGCTCTCTCCTGTCCCTAACCTCCTTTCGCTTCTCTCCCG